CTTGTAGTTCCCTGGTCCTTTTCTTTGCTATAAATTCATCCTTTGCTCTCTCTATATATATAGAGGTCCCTTAATCTGCGGACAGCATGCTGTTTCGTTCTTTTTGGAACTCATCAGCGCAGCACAGAGGGAATGAGGCCGAACCTGATAGCAATGGAAATAAAAATTTCCAATCAGGCCCGAACGTACCTTGCCAGAGTGCTCAAACTGACAAGTCAGTGAGCTCTGCATAACGCAAACAGCAAAGGCACTACCCCACGCAAGAGTGCTCAACTGCTGCAAGAGCAGGAGCGAAATACTCAATCTGCGGACAGCATGCTGTTTCGTTCTTTTTGGAACTCATCAGCGCAGCACAGAGGAAATGAGGCCGAACCTGATAGCAATGGAAATAAAAATTTCCAATCAGGCCCGAACGTACCTTGCCAGAGTGCTCAAACTGACAAGTCAGTGAGCTCTGCATAACGCAAACAGCAAAGGCACTACCCCACGCAAGAGTGCTCAACTGCTGCAAGAGCAGGAGCGAAATACTCAATCTGCGGACAGCATGCTGTTTCGTTCTTTTTGGAACTCATCAGCGCAGCACAGAGGAAATGAGGCCGAACCTGATAGCAATGGAAATAAAAATTTCCAATCAGGCCCGAACGTACCTTGCCAGAGTGCTCAAACTGACAAGTCAGTGAGCTCTGCATAACGCAAACAGCAAAGGCACTACCCCACGCAAGAGTGCTCAACTGCTGCAAGAGCAGGAGCGAAATACTCAATCTGCGGACAGCATGCTGTTTCGTTCTTTTTGGAACTCATCAGCGCAGCACAGAGGAAATGAGGTCCCTTATATATTTCTATATAAGGGACCTGCAACTGTAATAGGGCTTGAAAGTGCTACGTCACAGCATAGCAACAATTTCAAAAATTCAAAAATTGGATCCACTTGGATCCAGTTTTTGTATGGATCCAAGCACATTTCAAGCCGTCTTACTCACAGCAAGGTGATGTAACCAGTGAAACTGACTGATTTGGCTACTGGGGGCGGGGTTACAACTGGTGGCGAAATAAAAGTCACACCTGCATGCGACATGAGTGGGTTGCTATGCACCCACATACTTAGGCAATAGCAAAGTCACACCTTAGTGGATCCAAAAATAGAAATCTGATGACAACTTACTACTCCCTGGCCGTTTTGACGTCATCACTTTCAAGCCCTATACCACAGTACAGTAGATAGCAAATATGTAGAAAACAGAAATGCATGTTCCCATCATTGTACATGGACGGGCGCAGCAGGCCGAAGCTATCAGCCAGAACAGGATTTACAATCGCCTAGAGATACTTGAGCTATTCCAGTATTCTCCGTGAGCTGTCCCATTCCACAATGGTTCATGCCACCATTATTTCTGGTAGTATCCATGTGCATAATCCCGAACATCTCGGATTCTTCAGCAATTTGTGCCACGGCAAAAGACAACGCTTGACTCGGTCACTGGGGCTGTCAAACTTCGCATCACAAATGAACTTCAATTTCTCATCTGGTTCAAGTATATGTACTGCCATGACTTGACCATGCTTCATCCACAGCTGGGCGAAGATTGTGGCGTTGAATTCCATAGCGCACCTTCTTGCTGCCATGCAGGAATATGTTGAGAGAAGTGAACATATTTTTACTAAAAAAACAACAGCCACTGAAGAGGATAGCATTAGCAATAGCCTTGGGTGAATTTCCTGCAGGTACACGTTGTTGGTAGGACAACTGGTCGGTCTCCATATCGTCAAGTTCAGAAATCACCTGTACTACACATCTTGTAGAAGGGGCTGATCGAAAAAATTTCTGATCATAAAATTCACTAAACTGAGGGCGAGACAAATAGTCAGTACTCCCCGATTCCGTCTAGCTGCTTTGATCAAGTGATGCTAACAAGCTCCCCGTTGTTACTTCCAGCAGCTTCACTTTCCCTGCGACAGCGGCTATCAACCTTTCTGTCCATCGTCGACAATTATCACAGATTCAACATTCTACATTTGTCAGCACTGCACTGGGTGAATATGTCTCGAGACGAATTTAGCGGATCAACAACGCTTTGATGGAGATAAATTCTCCTCTGGAGGACCTTCAGGGTACCTGGAAGGGTATAGAAGACGGGATCGCTCACGACGTTGAGAGAACATAGAAAACAACCTCCTCTTCGATTGAAAATTGGCCAAACAGTATGTGAAATGTATGTGCGCAGATGCATTTCCACTGGCAAGCTAATCCCTCATTACGTCATCAGCGCTCGCTCGGCCGAAATTCAAAAGTCGTCTTCCTGCTCGACTCGATCGCTTCTGGAGACTCGTTCTTGTTCGAGGGGTCTTCTCTTTCACCAACCTTCGTCTTGGCATCGAAAACTCGGCGTCGAAAATGAAGCCGGAGTGCCCCTTTAACGGCCGGACATCGGACATTTTCCGGCCATTTTCGGCCACTGACCGGACGTTTTCAATTTCACCGGACATAGTGTCCGGTCAAAAAAGGAAAAAAAGGAGCAGCGACCTTTCGACCTTTTTAATTTTATGCAGAGTTGGGCTTTCTTCGGAGCTTCGTGCCAAATGCGACACATGGAATCGAGCATGAGTACGAGGACGAAAGTGCGGAATCGGAGCCCGACGCGCGCTAGCGCGGAGGGCTCCGATTCTAGCACTTGAGTCCGAGTACGAATGCTTTGATACCATTTCTGACATGCATTGCACGAACTACTTCGTACTACTAGTACTACTACATGTAGTACTTCACACATACCTAGTACCTACTCAAGGCACGCACACTAGACCAGACAAGGAACACAACTAGTCGCCAGTTTAGTACTTCAGACATGTTACATAATGACTAATGTACACAGTCACAACACAGAGATAAAACAAGGGCGGTCTAGTCAGCTAAAAACCAGGTCAGTTCAGCTTCTCTTCTTCGCAGTGACTACAGCCTACAGCCTACAGGTGCAGGTGAACATTGCAGTTTGCACCAAACTGAGCTCCGGAAAAGTTGATGGTCTTCGTAGCTTTCTGCATCAGAGACCGTTGGTGAGTTGGGGATTGCACTGTTGGGTCACAAGTTGCGATGTACTCATCAATGTCGGGATCGTGGAACTCAGTCTGCTGCTGTGATCGCTGAACGCTCGTTGTTGGCGCTGTAAGAGCACGGGTAGCAGCATTGGTTGCAGTTGGAGACTCTCCATCCAGAACTGCAGCCATCTCTTTTCTCTTTTGAAAAAAAAAAAAAAAAAAAGCGGCCTCTGATGGCTGAATCGGAGCACGCCTAGGCGTGCTCCGATTCAATCGGAGCACGCCTGGGCGTGCTCCGATTGGAAAATCGGAGACCTGCAAGCGCTCACAGGTCTTCAGTGGCTGATTCAAAGCACGGCAAGTCGCGCTAGGATTCGCTGTTGCCATGTCGATTGTCATGTGACATGTCAGAATTGCATATCGTACAACTAACACGTCTACACCGTAGCGCTAGCCTCGATCGCGTAGACTTCACCATAATCCGCCTGTAGCAACGCGGTTGCTACAGTCAATTCACACGTTCGACCTTCGTTCGACCTTTGCCAGGCTTTGGTACATGGTGTCGACTTCGCACCTGAATCGATGGGTTGAACTGCACTGCAGTGCAGTTGTTCGCTCTTGATAGGAAGATGTCATCTTTTATCTTTCACTCTTTCACTCTTTCACTGACCAGGAATGCAAATTATGATAGTCTTTTAGAATGTCTTCTGGAAAGCGAAAGGGAGATTCAGAGGACTTGCCGCCGGGCAAAAAAATCCGTGGTGTGAAGGCCGCTACTTGCGATAAGTGGATCTCGGACAATGATGCAGAGCTGACTACTTCCGCCTGGCTGATTTATGACAGGCAGAAGAACGATCGGCTGTTAGCAGAATGTTTGAAGTGTTCCGTGTGCATCAAGTTTGTAGACAGAGTCCGCAGTTGTAAAAACTTCAGCGAGGCTTTCATAACCGGATTCAAGAACCTGAGAACATCAGCGTTCAAGGATCATGCTGGAACGGAGATGCATAAACGAGGAATGAATCTTTTCCGCAGGCAAGAGTGTCCCGCTCGAAATGCCCTCGAATTCGCTCCAATTGCGAAGGCACTGTGCGAGATGGACGATGGTGCTGCCGCTATTGCACGACGCAAATTCGAACTGACTTACCTTCTCTGCAAGAAGTGAAGAAAAGCGGAACCTCCAAATAACAACATCGCTGTTGAAAGCAGTACGTGGCATGTGGCCTCTAATTTCCTAATACTTTGAAATTCTCCGTGAAGCCCAGATTTGAAATTGCTGTTCAAATAGCTCGACAATATCATGCTAGGGGAAATCCCGTTACAACCATGGATGTTGTTGTTGTTGTTGTTGTTGTTGCTGCTGTTGCTGCTGCTGCTGCTGCTGTTGTTGTTGTTGTTGTTGTTGTTGTTGTTGTTGTTGTTGTTGTTGTTGTTGTTGTTGTTGTTGTTGTTGTTGTTGTTGTTGTTGTTGTTCTTGAATTTTACTAAAAGGTCGCAACACAATACGCATGGGCGGGTAATGCTAGCATTATGGCTGGCATTATAGTCCCTTTTTTCCAGGTGGCATAATGCTGGCATTACAACGCCATTTCGCATGCAAAATTGGCATTACAAGCATAATTGCCGGTCGACAACGGTGCCATGCATGAAGCTGGCTATGTCCAGTTCCGAAAATCGTGCATCTGAATCCGTCCGGCTTCGTCTGGAGACTTGACGTTGCAAATCAACCTTCTACGTGGATTGTTTCAGACAACATGCTCACTGCTGTTTAAGTTCTTTTCTTCTACGCTTTGGCCTTGATCCAAGACGGCCTTCTTAAATCGACTTTTCCAACTTTCAAACTGGCATTATGGAGTAGTGTGAGCATTATAAGTGGCATTATATCCTCATATTATGAGCATTGCCTTTAGCATTATCGCAGCAAATAACTAGCATTACCCGCCCATGCCTACAACACAAACAGGCGATGGCGCTTCCTTTAATACATGTGACCGACATAAAACATATAATAATAATAAAGTAATTGGGAAGGGAGGAGAAAAAGTTACAAGTGAAAGAAATCACCGAAGGTAACTGAATATGTTACAGATAGAGCGGCGGAAAAACCTGTTGAAAACCGAATACACGGCGTGTAAATGACCGATGACATCTCCAAGGAATGCAATTCCTAACAAGTAACATCCTTGCAGAACATTACAATGTCATGCCATGTATGTACACATGTGTGTTCCAGCAATAGGACAGGATTTGATCAGATAAAAATCTTACACAGAAATGGAGCTCTTGTGCAGGCTGCTGGTGAGTTGGACGGTGGACGGGACCTTACTCGCCTTGCCGCACCACCTCCACCATCTGATACTGGTGGGTCTGAGCCAGCCTCATTGATCTGGCCTTGGCCAAGGAGGCGGCCAGACACACGGTGGCGAACATGGCACATCCGGACGAACCCCAGGCTAAGTAGTACGCATTTCCGGTTAACACGTACCAGTCACCCGTCGACGACATCGGTATGGGTTGTTGAGTGTGCGAGAGGAACGTCAGGCCATGATCTCTGTTAACTGTGGCCACAAGAATTCCAGCAATCAGCATGGCTACACCTGCGATGCACGTGAGCACACATACATGTACAATATTCTCTGACTGGAATTCCGAACTTCTCCATTTGAGAATATTTTCCTGGATAAGTATTAATCTTTGGATGGAGAGCCAAGGATAAATTTATAGAAAAGAAAAGGACCAAGGAACTACAAGTTACGCTATCATGTCCACTAATGCCACCAGTTACTAAACAATCAGCTCATGCGATAACATTGCACGACACTGACTTTTTCTTTTATTTAAATATTGATTTATACAAAAGAGAAAGGACCAAGGAACTACAAATCAAATTAAACCTTGGCTCTCCATCCGAGTCCATAAATATTAATCTTTGCTGGGGGGGTTTCATCTCAATGGCCAGCTATCAACTGCAGAGGTAATTTCTTCTCTCGTTAATTTCTTTCCTGCTATTATACCTCGATATTTAGGTACTTGTTTCCCATGCTTCATCTTCCCCTCTCCCCTCCCCCATTTTTCTCGCTATATTTATCTAGGAGATTTCCATGATAAGCATCCATTTGCTTTCGGAGAATCCTTTTAAATAAAGACAACAACACCAACAACAACAACAACAACAACAACAACAACAACAACAACAACAACAACAAAAACAACAACAACAACAACAACAACAAAAACAACAGCAACAACAACTATGATGGTTCCATTGTGAGAACAAAGAATTCAAAAAAACATACATGCATGTACATACACGAGCATCACACAAACGTACACACAGGCGTGCATACACACGGACACACAGGCGTGCATACACACGGACACACAGGCGTGCATACACACGGACATGCACGTGTACACACGGGCGCCCGCGCACACACAACAACTGCACAGTACAGTAACCAGATGGTGAACAGTCAGACAGGGCAACGCCAGGCCTCTACCTGGCACAGTGAGTCAGTTACAGAGAATACTAGAGGACCGCTGGTGAATAATAACAATTCTAAAATGTTGGCACTTACATATTGTACAATTGTGTCACCACGATGTGTTAGTTCTAGAACATTCATCTGCCTGCATTATTCGTCTTTATATTTCGTGTTTTTGCCTCCCCTTCCTCAATGTCCTGATGATGCCCAATGGGCGAAATATTGGCAACGTTATTTTATTGATCTATTTGATGCAGCTGAGAGCCTGTTGCCGGAATGGCGGTATTTTCAAGTACATGTAAGTAAAAGTAAATTATCGTATCCGTTCCCGAAGGGAACTCACGACGGCCGCTAACACCCGATAAACCCTAGCGGCAGATACACATTATAATTATTGTATTTTACACACAAGTTAGTTGACGTTTTGTACATGTAATTGAGGATGGGATTGAAGAACCGTTGATGTTCACTTTATCAGTTTGCTGAGAAATATCAATGTGCTCAAGACAATAATGCTATATATTAATAGTATCGACGCTATGGGCAGCATACATGTGTGTTCGTTAGGGGGAGAGGTATAAAGAGGTCAGCAATAATGTTCATGTTCGTTCACGCCTTACACTGCAGGAAACTGAAGACGGCTGCCAGTATGTGACAGGGTACCTTGCTGAACGCGCCCATGATGAAGATCCAGCTGAGTGCGCCAAGCGCCACGCTCGTCACACTTGCTGCCTTCGCAAATACGAAATCAGCTGCAGTAAAAGATATACATGTACATGTTTTGACGGTTGATGATTTGACAGCATGAAACAAGGTGGAGGACACCATGTTCGGAAACAGTGACCTTTCTACAACCATCCGCGGTTGGTAGAGCCCCGGTCCGTTGGGACCATCTGAAACGTATGGGTGTTAGCTAAACCAGGTTCTGACCCTCCTTATTCTAGGGGAGTGCTTTTATGGACCGCGGCTCTACCAACCGTGGAGGTTGTAGAAAGGTCACTGTTTCCCAACACGGTGTCCTCCACCTTGTTTCATGCCAGTGTCAAAGCAACACCATGACTTGTGTGAACTAAAACCAGGTTTTTAAATTTCTATGTACGTGCATTTATACAATGTATTTTCCTTTTTCTTCTCCTCCCCTTCTCCCTTCCTTGCCGTGGTTGGCTAACACCCTCTCTCTTTGTATTGGCCGGTGTTCTCACTGTGCTATGAGATGCTGTAATAAATAAATAAATAAATAAATATAAAGAGTGCAGTTTATTTTATTTTTTATTCCAAGCAATACATGGCTGGGGCAGCTAATGACCACTTTGCGTGGCAATTGCAGGGTTTAACAGGTAGCCCAACATGGCCGAAACGACTTGTTGTCTGCAGCATTGGGTATCTGTTTCTAGAAACGCCTGTTGGCCAAATATTCGATATTCATGGCCGGTCTCTATCCTTGGTGTATGTGTTTTGGGTTTGGGGTTTTGTTTTGTTTTTAACTTTGGCCAGTATGACTACTACAGTATTCACTTCGTCTTGAGGGGTTAGACATTGGGAAGTTGCCACACAGCCGGGGGTGGCGAGCCCGCCTTTTGGCATGTGTTCTTTCCAACACCATGCCAGACTCTCTAGCAATGGGCCTCCCATTCACAACATTGTAATGGTGCTGACCATACAGTCACAACTTTCCCGCTCACCTATCCAGGAATATCATACCAGTGATATGTTTTTTCAGTCGATGTAAGATTTAATAGTCCACTGCATGCAGACTCCTTAGTAAATTTAAACTGTTTGAGGCTTTGAGCAAACTCTCGTGATGCGTGAAATCACTGCAAGAAACTTCGGAGTTGAGACATGTTGATATTTCCACTGGACCGATGTGTGATAAGTCTTTGCAGTGCTGACTTAGTATAGTGATGGCAAGTGTGAGATCTGATCGCACGCTGGTCGGATGAGCTTCTCCCATCCCATCAGCATATCGCCCCTACTTTCCTTCGTTTTGATACATGGGGCAGGGGTAGCATTGATACCACAGATTGTCCATTGGCAAGCTTGCTACAGTACAGTGTTCACTCCTATGAGGTTATTGACCCTCTCAAAAGGTCTCTTCAGCTTCAACGACAACACGAACATACAGTAAAACCTGTCTAAGACGACCACCGCTCAAGGGACTTTCAAAACGTGGTCTCTGTTACCAGGTGGGCTCCTTATCCAGGGTCATTTGACTGGAAATAGCATCCCTCGATCCTGGTTTCAGTGGTCTTATTGGACAGGTGGTCGCCTAATCCGAGTGGTCGTCTTGACAGGTTTTACTGTACATATATGTACATGTGTATGTATACTGCTCGTGTTGTCTCGTTTCTCCTCGCTTTTCTCCCCCTTTTCCATGATTACGGATGATTCATGCAACTTGATCCATACGCTACCCACAAGTATCGTGAAAAGCGAAACTCCGAAACAAATCTCTCCTTTCTGGGTGAAGTTCTCTGAGATAATTCTACTTAAAGGTTGTAGATTATTATGCTGTATGTACATAAACAGAAGGACGAACAGGTGCGACAACAGTAATGCTCTCAAGGGAGGGACAATTATCACTTTTCGTCTGATGATCGATTCAATTCGTGAAACTCGGAGTTACGAAATCGCAACTGCTCGTCCTTCTGTTCATGGTGTATTCCGCTCTTTGCCTTGGGAAAATTGAGCCCTCTATACGAACGGCGAATGAACCTCACATGGTGATGCTGTATGCATGGATTGCCACTGGGTGGAGACACTGACTTACAACTGGCCACCGTGCCACAGTCTGAGGTGATGTCTTCTCTCCGGTCCAATAGCGCTCCGGTGGCACACACTTTCCACAGGCCCACGTTCAGAAACCGTTGAAGCGGGATGTAGCGCGGGCCCGCTGACAGCCAGCTGCGCAAGAACAGAGTGGCCGAGCCTTCCAGGACTGAGATGGTGCTAAATATCAGACCGATTATGGTCAGCGTACGTGCCATACCTGCTAGCGGCGCCATGTTCACCTTTAACTTTGGGAGTGTTAGCAATGACTCTAATAGTCGTTAAACACCGCAAGAAGGTGCTTCGGCCGGTGTGAACGTTTTTTGTTAGAGCAGTCGTCGTGTAGAAATGACTACAAGAACAATGCAGCTGTGTGTGCTACAGTACCAGATGAGAGTTCTTGTTGTTTACGAACACCTCCAGTGGCTGTGTGCAGTGGAGGTGCAGGTCTGCATTCATTGTGTTTGTGTCTGTGTCGTTGTGAAGCTGGTCCCTGTAGTCTAGACACTACATGTCCAGTGTCCACCTCTGGTGCCATGTAGTCAAAATGGTACTAGTCTGTCTTGCTGTTCCCTTACATCGGCATGTACGTCATTGTACATATTGCATGCTACCGACTCTAATGACATGACTGATTGTACATACTACGTACTAGTAGTACTACACGAAATAGGCTACTCGTGTGTTCCAATGGAAAACAGGAAAGGGGATGTTATGTGATTGTGACTCTGAGGCGAATGAGCGGCATCGGTGCCATTACATCTGTGGCGTTCGTCGTCGGCTGGAGCAGCTCATTTTGGCGCTGTATCGTGTCACCACGTGGATTTACATGTAGGTGCTTGCATCATGATGTGTCCGCGTCCACCCCTGCCCAATCAACGAAGCAGTTGTCAAGCTGTCAGTGGATTCTGTGTTAGCTGCACGCCTCCGCGGCTTTGCCAAAATCCTCTCCTGCTCAACCACGTTGGGTGTTGACCATGTTGCACACAAGCCATTGTGAAGCCCACGCATGCAATGCCATGGATATTAATAGCAATACTGTACCGTGGCGCCATGCGACGAGAAGCAGACTTGGAAGTAGGTTTCTCTGGAAAGAGCTGTGACAGCTCATCACATAAGGCATCTTGCGTGTCATGTCGCCGAGCCCATGGCCATGGACCTAGAAACACTCGACTACAGCCCTAGGTTATGGTCGAGTCTGGGTTGAGTCTGGCTCTGGGCAGGGTCTGGGCAGAGTCTGGGTAGATTCTGGGTAGTGACAGTAGATGCTGGGTAGATTCTACGTAGCTACATAGCTACTAATTTACCTCGCCAAGTCACGCGTCGCCCAAGCCACTGACTTGCCTCTGTCGTCACGTCTAGGTAATGCCTTCTTGCGTCGTGTGATCTGGGTAGCTGCTTGTCGCTGTAGTTGTCAGCTAGGAATTCGTAAAACTAACTCCCTGGTGACGTTCACTTGTTTACATGATATGTAAGCTTTGAGTTTGACTCGGTGATTGACGTAACAGCAGCAGCAGCAGCAGCAGCTGAACTGCCAGAACGGCAGAGAAGGAAAGACAAGTCACCCACTGATCCAACAACTTGACAACTAAACGCTTCGCTCTTCTTTGAGATATCTACCATCTTCTTTTCTTTCTCATTAATTTCTTCCCAACCCTCCTTCCCGATAAGACAATAACATATTCGCTGCCTTGTCATTGAGCATTTGTACTCGTTTGGATTTGCGAATTCAAATAAAATAATATTTTGTTTGTATAATTATTATACAAAACAAACAAACAAACAGTACAATGGTCAATGTCATGACTACAACTAGTACAGGCTATGATGGACGTTAGCCACTCTCCTTGCTCAGCTCAGGACATGTTACAGTTAGTGTAGGGTGACTACATGTACGTTTGCCTTGCAGTCAAGGGTGTAATGCCGGACACTGGGGTTCCAGGTCAAAGGAATAGCATCGTGAGGAGCGGCTGCAAGATCGGCAAGTGACCACCAAGTGGCGTGGTTGGTTGTGTTAGGAACGCAAGTATGCACTCGCAATACACTGGTCCTGCCAGTGTAAAAATATGGTTTTGTTTTTACTAGAAACTACATGAACTCGTATTGTGGCAACACTAGCTGGCAATACTCAGATGCATTGCTAGTTTAATTTGCTACTTCACGCAGTCGAACAAGTGACACATCATGCCACATGATCACTATAGTGGTGACAGTCCTCACATACATGTAATGTGAAAGACTAGGGTGGTGATGTGTACAATTTGTGGAATATAGCAGAGAGAAAAACACTCTCGCGAGTGAAAAATGACACATGCCACATGATCACAAATAGTGTTGACCGCAGTCCTCACGTAATGTGAAAGACTTGGGTGGTGATACGTACAGTTTTTGGGGTGCTGGTTTTTTCGTGTGAAACCTTAGAAAACGTTGAGAAAGAATGTTCGACTGTGTGAGGTAGCAGTGCACCCGAGTATTGGCCAGTGTTGCTACAATACGAGTTGACTATAATGAAGCTGCGTGAAGCGTCGTTCCGAATTTATAGAAACTACAATTGTTGCCTGATGATTGCGAGAGCATGAAACTTGAAGTACATGTACATGTAGAAGCAAGCAAGCCTTGGTTGTCCTTGTCGTTTTGTTTTGTTTTGTTTGTTTGTAGAAATTACATTACCATCATAATTATGCAGAACATACATGTACATGTACCTTTTCAAAAGGCTTTTGTCATGTACAATCAACTTCGCTTATAACGACACTCGGTGGGGCATCAGAAAAGTGTCTTTATTCGCGAAGTGTCGTTATACCCGAAGTCTCATTATATGTATTTATTTATTTATTTATTATTTATTTATTTCTGCACCTCGTGGCATGTCAAGACAGCCAATTGAATTGAGGAGAGGGTGAGACCAACCACGGAAGAAGAGAAAAAAAGAAAATTAAGAGCACGTACACAAAGTGGGAAGGGATTAGCAACTTACAAAGCAATGGGATGCTCAGCGAGCTATGCAGCGGAAGTGGTGACTGTGACTTTGTTTACTGGGAGATACTGAAGTGCTGTCTGACGAGGGTACGGAATTTGGGCATATCTGGAGCTTGTCTAACACTGGGAGGCAGTTGGAGCCACGTGGAGTAGGAGGAAAAGAAAGGGGAATTTACGAATAGGGTAGACCTAGCTAGGGGGAGACGAACGCAGCTTCGGGTGGTGCCACCTGAATTGAACCAATTAAGGGACTGTAAATGAGCAGGGTGCTGGTCAAGGAAAATTGAATGCGCCAGGGTGCACTTGGAAGCATCAAGGTAATGTTGCAGAGTGGTAGTGGATGCAGCAGCATACAAGTCTAGATTTGAGGTATAACGATCAGTACGGAATATGATTCGCAGTATACGGCGATGGAGAACTTCTAATTTACCTATGTGGGTTTTGTTAATGGTGGACCAGGCAGGGAAGCCGTACGTGAAGAGGGGAAGAATGTATGATTTATAAAAATTAATCCGGCAATTTTTGGGCAAATGGGACAAGTGACTTGACATTATGCCGACAGATCGGCATACTTTGGACGACACATGATCAGCATGGTGAGACCAGGAGAGGGCGGAATCTATGACAATGCCAAGGTGTTTATGGTGGGGCGCTACAGAGATAGGGTGACCGGGATCATCGGGAAAGTGGAAGATGGGCACTGGATCTGTTGTATTACAGTTGGATGGGACTTTGCTCTGGGCATGGAAATTCTGTCGTTGTTCGCGAATTGTCGTTATATCCGCAGTCGTTATAAGCGAAGTTGACTGTACATGTACGTGATGGGTGCATGCGCTGTAGTGTGGTGACGAGGCAGAAGGGACTCCACCGACCTTGACGTCTCCGTATCGCTGTCAATCCTACGCGCCAAAATCATAAGGAAATACCGGTACAAATAATCTACGTGGAGATAAAAGTTTAATAATAGCAATGAAAAGTATGAATGCCGCAGACATCACCACGCAACATGACAATTTGTTCAAGGTTTACCACAAGTTACCCGTCATGTGTCACACTTCTTTGGATTTTTTAACCTTTGTTTTTCCCTTGATCTCTTTAGTTCCGTATTTCCACTGATGATCGGAACGTGAAAATCGATTTTGGAAACACACAAAACCAAACCTTGAACAAATTGTCATGTTGCGTGGTGATGTCTGCGGCATTCATACTTTTCATTGCTATTATTAAATACCGGTACAGTACATTTTTCACAGCCGGCAGTCGTGGGTTAGTCAAGTGTCGGTGGGTCGGCAGGGAGCGCAAGCTCCAACGTTTGGAGCAGCCACCTTCTTCTACAAGTACCACCGAAGTCGCAACGTCAACATCTCAGTAAGCTGAGTTCGTACAATTTTTAAGGGGATAGAATTTGGGTGAAGAGAATAAAAAAGAATTCGGGAGAAAAGGATGGAAAAGGGAGAATGGGAGTATCTAGGTGACCCTTTAAGAGCGACTGTGTATTACAATTATTATAGTCACAGACTGTTGGCTGCCCACAGCTACCGGCTTCGTAGACGATGCTCACTCCTGGTGACCTTATCCAGAATACCTTTCAAACAAATGTCACAAGCTGTCTGTTGCCCAAAGCCAGTGGCTTCGCAGAAGGTACTTGTTCACACCTTCCTTTAAACCATTGAAGGCTTTCGGGTTTGGTTCAGCGTCCTGAAGACAATGGGGGGGGGTCGGGGGGGGGGGGGCCTTCCGGGAGGGATAACAGCAGTTGGGAATCTCTGTAGGAGGCTGTTGCGGCTCCGAGGCGGGATATCACTGGTGGATAGCTGGTAGGCCTGGCAAAGTACATGCCCCAACATTTGATATCTGGTAAAGTGCCAATTGTCGTCCGGCGGTCTGCGGCGCGGAGGGAGCAATGCGCGGAGCAGACTATCAGTGCTAAGTAATGAAGCGTATACAGTAAGACCTGTAAGTAAAGACCGCCGTGACTAGCGACCAGCCTGGTACTACAGTAAAACCTGTAAGTAAAGACCGCCGTGACTAGCGACCAGCCTGGTACTACAGTAAAACCTGTAAGTAAAGACCACCGTGACTAGCGACCAGCCTGCTACTACAGCCCACTTCGCAAGACACGGAGGCGGTCTCACATTCATAATACAGTAAAACCTGTAACTAAAGACCACCGTGACTTTTTTAACTCGGATGGTGAGTCAATTAAATTATGGTGAAAAAAGGTGGACAAAATGTTACGATTTAAGACTAACTGACCACCAACGTAACCAGATCTTATACAGTCAGCGAATGCGACAAAATTGCACAAAACTGACAAGGAGTACTGAGACATTCGGCGACCTGACACTTACTGTAGCTCCAACACTTCTCCAAGGCGCAAACCAACGACCTTGCAACTTGGAAGGCTAAGGTTCGGAAAGGTACAAGAGAAACTCCTTGTCAGTTTTGAGCCATTTTGTCGCA